GTCGCCTCCTTCGCCGCCTCCGTGAGTAGCTTGCTGGCCATCACGGTCGATCGCTACCTCTCCCTCTACAACGCCCTCACCTACTACTCGGAGAGGACTGTGCTCTGCATCCACACCATGCTGGCGGGGGCCCGGGGAGGCTCCCTCTGCCTGGGGTTGCTGCCCGGCCTGGGCTGGAACTGCCTCCACGATCGCGCCGTCTGCAGCGTCGTCAGACCCTTGACCAAGAGCAACGTGACGCTGCTGTCCGCCTCTTTCTTCCTCATTTTCCTCATCATGCTCCATCTCTACATCGAGATCTGCAAGATCGTTTGCAGGCATGCCCACCAGATCGCCCTCCAGCAGCACTTTCTGACTGCCTCGCACTACGTCGCCACCAAAAAAGGCGTCTCTACTCTCGCTATCATCCTCGGGACTTTTGGAGCCAGCTGGCTGCCTTTTGCCATCTACTGTGTGGTGGGGAATCCTGACTACCCGTCTGTGTATACGTACGCCACGCTTCTCCCCGCTACCTACAACTCCATGATCAACCCCATCATTTATGCCTACAGGAACCAGGAAATCCAGAGGTCCATGTGGGTGCTCTTCTGTGGCTGCTTTCAGGCTAAAGTGTCCTTTCGCTCCCGGTCCCCCAGCGATGTCTGAGTGACTTTTCTCTCTGTTGTACCACACTGAGTGACAATCTACCCACTGAACTATTAACAGTGCCTGTTCTCAACTTCAAACTACGTTGTGAAGTCATTGGAAACATGCTTAAGTATTAGCACTTTATACATGTGTGTATCTCTGAGAGTGGTTTGGGGTGCGGAGTTTTGGGTCCCTGATACCAAAAAAAAAAAAAAAAGAAAAAAAAAAGAAAAAGTGTTTGTATATAAATTTGCACATCTCATTTGTAAAGTGAAGACATTCCAATACTGCTTAATTATAGCACCTTATTTCTAGCTGCTGACCTGCCAAAACAGTGTTGCCTTTCTGAAGGACAGAGAATAGGAAAGTTGTGTTTGTGTTGTGTTTGTACGTGTGTGTTTTGGGGGGAGGTGTATGTATGTATGTGTGTATCTATACTTTGCTGCACATTATTGATAAATTATAACATTTTGTATACAAATAAAAACATTTAAGATGTAATATAACTTTGTGTGTTTAGATGCTTTTAGAAATAAGAGGGCTGGCAAATTTGCCAGTTGAGCAAATTCCTTTTGTTTACTTTTGAAAGCTCCTGGTGTGGAGATGAAATACTGTGCCAAAAAAGGCACCTTTCTGCTTGCTTGTGTGTTTGTTCTCTTCTTTAGTCTGGCTGAGAGTAATGAAGAGCACAAACTACTTTTTATTCTCCAGCAACCAAGGAAAAAAAACCCAATCAAATGGGCTGCTAATTACAGTTATTCACCAGGTTTCCAGTAGCTTTCATCTTTAAGTTCTAAGTTAGCCTTCTATAATAATGATCCATTAAAATGTTATCAAACTGCAGAGAAAAAAATCAGACTCTAAGCTGGGCTCTTTTTTCTTCTTTTAGTCTAAAAATGAAGGGGGAAAAAAGGAAAAAAGTCACAGTCTTCTTTCCTAAAAGCCTGTAAAATGCCACAATAAGTTGAATTTTCTTATCACCCCCAGTTCTGAGGGGAATCTGAATTGTTTCTCCCCGTCTTTTTTTTTCCAACTGTGTGCTGTAGAAAAATTATTTAAGTGCATCTCTGCTGTCTCTCTGTCTCAGAACAGTATACAATTTTCTGATAATCACTTAGCTTAGCAACTTCAAAGAGTCCAGCAGAAGTCAATTGTGCTCAGAGTTCAGAAACATTTCTTTGCTCAGGTTCAAATTCACCAGTGACTCATTTATTTAAAGCAATAACATGTGCAACAGGTTTCAGAAGCAATGTTGCTGGTTAGTCGTTACAATTATGCTACATTTACATCCTGGTTATGTTATAATTTATCACTATCATTTCAATTTGTATTTAAGGACTGAAACAGATTATTTTTATGTGCCTAGTACCCTATAAAAACTTTGGAGTAATGTGTTCCCTAGCTTCTGACTAGGCAATGCATCAAGTTTTTCCTGATAAAGCAGCTGGGGCTACCAGAATGTGAGACACCTCAGCAAGGCCATACATCAGTAATGCTGTATTTATGTGAATGGAAGGGTTAGAAGAAACAGTATAATTTCACTTTCATTTTTTAAAAAACCTGCATTCTAGACTCTGCTTGCCTCATTATTTTTATCAATTCTAATAATCACTAACATGACATTTTAATTTATGAATACCTCGAGGCACACAGTTCATCATAGCACTGTTGCAGTGATGCTAGAAATGCGATTTAAACCAGAATGTATGATATGTCAAAACATTGGTCAGATTAAGAACTCTGAAGTTATGAGTGAGAAAGGTTATTTTTACCCCTCTTCTACGTCCTCATTTCATATGCTTCATGTAAGCTAGTAAGTAAAGGAGGGCAAGGATGGGTGTCACCGAGCATGCCTAGGCTCTTTTCCCCCTGCACTGCCAGGAACCAAACAGCTGGTTGGAGCATCCTGGTCCTGCTCTCGTAACCTGCAGAGACTCATCCGAAGATGCTGCATCTCCCAGGCACAAATACAAACTGGGCACGGAG